TTGTTTTGTGGCGCTTACCATTCTGGGTGCCTGTCCTGGTCGATGGCAGATATAGAATGCTCCAAATTACATGTGCATTTCTATGGGCCATCGCTCCTCGTGCCTCTGTGAGGGCGCCAGATTCTGGCTTGTGGTCCCCGGTAGGCCTAGAACTCCACCCACATCGACTGATACAAAATGGTTAGGGTATCCATATCAGCCATCGATAGCTCTGGGGAGCCTCCGGGACTCGCCCAGAAAATGGCACTTCATTACATTCAACGCTGGTTTTATCTCGATTACAGTTGAAGAAAAGTATTTAAGATTGGAATGTGTATGCCTTAGACCTTTGCCATATACTGTAGCATATAAATTTTCACCATCATAACATTTAAAGTTCTACCTTAAGCTCATGCTTTGGCCTGGGTTTGTATCCTGGCCGGGGAGGATTTACTGAGCGTCAATCCTTAACTGTAGCCTCTGTGCACCCAGCAGTGAATGGGTACCTGGTTGTTAAACTATTTGGCGGGTTGTATTCCAGTGAAAATTAGGATTAAAGACTTGCCCGAAATGCTGTGTGTGCTAGTTGGTGTACAAGAATGTAAGAACTCTTGAATATGCAGTATAAATAAATAAATAAATAAATAAATAAATAAATAAATAAATAAATAAATAAATAAATAAAAAATAATTTTTAATATACAGTAGTACTTTTAATAAAAGAATTCATGTCAGTATTAATCAGTAATACCTCACAGATCCAATATAAGAATTGCTTGTAAATTGTTTTGATTTTTAGATAGTATTGTAAATTAGACTATTTATTTTTATCCTTCTAGTCAAATTAAAATTAGCTTTATGCGTGATATCCAAAACCCTGTAAATATAACTGATATCAACATGAGTATGGTAGGTTTTGAAAGAGAAATTGACAACATGCCCATGCACTCAACCCTGGGTCCAGACTCATAGAATTCAATATTTATAAAGAAATGCAAGGTGCCAGTAGCACAGGCACTCAGTATAGTGTGGAGGAAGAGCTTGAACACGGGGGAGATACCAGATGCGCTTAAATCAGCAGACATAGTCCCTCTTCACAAGGGAGGGTGCAAAGCATTGGCAAAGAATTATAGACCAGTTGCACTAATGTTCAACATAATAAAAGTATTTGAGAGAGTGATCAGGAGTCAGGTCACCAGTTTCATGGAGACCTTCACAACCCAGGCCAACATGGATTTAGAGCAGGAAGATAATACCTCTCACAGCTACTGGATCACTATGACAAAATCACTGAGGCATTGGAAGAAAAACAGAATGCAGATGTGGTATACACGGACTTCGCAAAGGATTTCGATAAATGTGACCATGGATTGATAGCACACAAAATGAGGTAAATAGGAATAACTCGTAAAGTAGGATGGTGGATACTCAATTTTCTGTCAAACGGAACACAAAGAGTAACAGTCAACCATATAAAATCGAGTCCAAACGCAGTGAAAAGCTCTGTACCTCAGGGTACGGTCCTTGCACCACTGCTTTTCCGTTTTCTCATATCGGATACAGTATAGACAAAATACAAGTCACAGCTTCGTATCATCCTTTGCAGATGACACAAAAATCAGCATGAAAATCACCTCTGCTGAAGACATTAAAAAACTATAAGCAGATATTAATTAAATGAAGTTTTTGACTGGGCAGAAGAAAATAACATGATTTTCTACTTGTACAGACATTGATAAATTCCAGGTACAGTACTCATGTACAGTAAAAATGAGGGCATTAAACATCTTGAGATCTTGAGATTATCTTGAGATGATTTCAGGGCTTTAGTGTCCCCGCGGCCCGGTCCTCGACCAGGCCTCCACCCCCAGGAAGCAGCCCATGACAGCTGACTAACACCCAGGTACCTATTTTACTGCTAGGTAACAGGGGCATAGGGTGAAAAAAACTCTGCCCATTGTTTCTCGCCAGCACCTGGGATCGAACCCAGGACCACAGGATCACAAGTCCAGCGTGCTGTCCGCTCGGCCGACCGGCCCCCATCATAATACAAACATAATACAGAGTACAAAATACAATCAGATTTGCCCATACTAAGAAAGCAGCATGTCAAGGATTTGGAAATAATGATGTCTGACAACTTAACGTTTAGGGAGCATAACCAAGGAAATATTGCGTCATCCAGAAAAATTATAGAATAGATTACGAGAACATTCAAATCCTGGGATCCCATCACAATGGTTGTACTCTTCAAATCACTTGTGCTGTCCCGTCTTGAGTACTGATTAGTACTCCTTCCTTCAGAGCAGGAGAGATTGCTGAAATAGAGGGAGTTCAGGGAACATATACGGCATACATAGACGCGGTAAAACACCTACGTTATTGGGATTGCCTAAAAAAATAACAACATACTGGAGTGAACGATATGGAAGAAAATACAGAATTAAACCAGTGAAGAGCAGGGGTGCCATAGGCACAATCAGAGAACACTGTATAAACATCAGAGGTCCGCGGTTGTTCAACATCCTCCCAGCGAGCATAAGAAATATTGCCGGAACAACAGTGGACATCTTCAAGAGAAAACTAGATAGTTTTCTTCAATAAGTGCCGCACCAACCGGGCTGTGGTGGATTTGTAGGCCTGCGGGCTGCTCCAAGAGCGGCCCCGCAGAGAGCTTGGTGGACCAAGCTCTCACACAAGCCTGGCCTCGGGCCGGGCTTGGCGAGTAGAACTCCCAGAACCCCATCAAGCAGGTATCAAGCGGCTGTGTGTATAAACAAGTGGTGATGCCTGGCAGTTGTGTACTTACCCCAACCATTACATTTTGATGACCTGACTCCCAATAACCTATGTTACAAACACCACATACGCTATCATAACTGCCACTATAACTGTGACAACCACTAACACTTAAAACACAAGTACTGTACCACAGTCACTCTAAATACAACCTCCACCACCAAATACATCACCTATATATTACACCTACAATCTCAACCATTATAAGTACAAGCACAACTACCAAACATCTCAACTATAACTTACATCTACTACAACATAATCACCACCACAACCTCCAACAATCACTATAATCAGATCTCTCCTCCTTTCTCCTTCTAGTGTGTCTTCACCACCATCACACCTACAACATAAACTATTATGACCAAAACCGCCACAAACTTCTACGACTACTATATAGTCCCATCCACCATTACAAGTACAGTAGAACCTCGAGTGACGATTGCCTCAACTGGCGAGCATTTTTGGTAACGATCACCCAGATCGCCGATAATTCGTCTCGAGTGGCAACTGCTCGTTTGAATGACGACAATTCTACATGGTGGGGTCGCGCTGCTTCTCGCACATTCTTGGACGCCTCCGACGATGCAAATAAATTATGTTTTTTTGTTTAAAGGTGCTTATGATGCTGGAATATAAAGAGGTGACTGCTGAGATGTTGCAAAGTAATGACATTTTTGTAGAAAAAAGAAATTAAAAATTTTGAAAAACAAAACAAATGTCAAAAAGGTTCGTTTGGTGTTCGGCAAGTAGGCTGCTCTGTTATTGAGACGTAAATGAAAAATACAAAACAAATGGAACACATTTGAAACAAAGAAAAGATTGTCATAATAGAGCAGCCTACCTGCCGAACACCGAACGAACCTTTTGCTATTAGACAAATGAAAAAAAGTATTGATCAAATTTGAAAAAAGAAAAATGTCATAAAGGTTTATTCAGTGTATGTAAGGTAGGCTGCTTTATTATTTAAAACATCGAATATCATATTGATGTTTTTCGGTGGTAGAACGGACAAATTTGTTATCTATTATTGTCGATGGGGACATTTGTTTTGTCTGACGTCCGTTTCATATGACGATCACGGCGCCGGAACGGATTAAATTCGTAATTCGAGGTTCCACTGTACAACTATATAGTACAACAAGTACTGCAAATACAGCCACCACTGCAAGCACAATACACATGGAGAATGCTAAAAGCATCAGTAGTTCAAAGTGTCATATGACAAAAAGATTATTGAGAAAACGCGACACCATCTTAAGGTGATCTTGAGATTATTTCGGGGCTTAGTGTCCCCGCGGCCCGGTTCTCGACCAGGCCTACATTTTGTTACCTACCCCCAGGAAGCTGCCCGTAGCAACTGTCTAACTAACGGCTCTAAAGGGAGCCGGTTGGCCGAGCGGACAGCACGCTGGACTTGTGATCCTGTGGTCCTGGGTTCGATCCCAGGTGCCAGCGAGAAACAATGGGCAGAGTTTTTCACCCTATGCCCCTGTTACCTTGCAGTAAAATAGGTACCTCGGTGTTAGTCAGCTGTCAGGGGCTGCTTCCTGGGGGTGGAGGCCTGGTCGAGGACCGGGCCGCGGGGACACTAAAAGACCCGAAATCATCTCAAGATAATCTCAAGAAGATAATCTCAAGATAATCTCCCAGGTACCTATTTACTGCTAGGTAACAGGGGCATCAGGGGGGAAAGAAACATTTTGCCCATTTGTCTCTGCTTCCACTGGGGGATCGAAACCAGAACCTCAGGGCTGTAAATCCGAAGTGCTGTCCACCTAGCTGTCAGGCGCCGTTGACCATGACCATGAGTCATATTTTGCTGTAACTATTTAGATAATTTCATGCCACATAAACCACTACAACTGCAACCACTACAAAGATTGCTAAACCACATTTACTAAAAAAATTGCTACAACTACAACTAGTTATAATCAGAGCAATTATAAAAATAACTACAACTATATGCAGATAGAGTAGCCATCACCACAACCCTGCTGGGTAATGAGGATTTCCAGATGTCTCCATGACCCCAAGGTTACTGTAGAAACCAAATTTTAAGTTTGATGAGCATTTCCATAGCTTTGTTTATAGCTTTTGACCTCTCTTTGCAAGCTCTATCATTCTTAGTTGAATTTTGGCCATTGGTATCTATACCGTACAGAAAGACACTATTTATCTATTTGACAAAAAGATTCAGATACTGTTCTTGTGCATTTTAGGTAGTAATGGTATGTGTGAAGAAATGACACGGTCCACTCCACAGTCACCACTGCGGTCAGTAGTGCGTGCTCACTTGCCAAACAAGCAGCGAACCACCGTGCAAGTACAACCTGGGCGCACGTTAAGGGATGCACTGGCAAAGGCTCTCAGCTTTCGAAAACTTTCACCAGACGTTTGCATTGTGTACAGAAAAACAAATCCCAAGGTATGTTTAGATAATAAGATATGTTTAGATAATTTAACGTGTTCTTGTAAGAGGTGGATGGAAAATCTGTCAAGAATATTGACAGAAGAAAGTAACTGGGTGTGTTTTAAAAATAAACTATCTTCACTTTATCTTTATATAGTAGTTTAAACTATCTTCATTATATTACATTTGTTTGGGTTAAACTCCAACAACCATTTGTTCGACCATTCCTTCAGCTTGTCCAGGTCTTCTTGAAGCCTCAAGCTGTCCTCCTCTGTCTTAATCCTTCTCATAATTTTGGCGTCATCAGCAAACATTGAGAGGAATGAGTCTATACCCTCTGGGAGATCATTTACGTATATCAGAAACAGGATAGGTACCGAGTACCTATCACCAGTGGAGTCCCTGTGGGACTCCACTGGTGACTTCACGCCAATCTGAGGTCTCACCACTCACTGTAACTCTCTGCTTCCTATTGCTTAGGTACTCCCTTATCCACTGGAGCACCCTACCAGTTACTCCTGCCTGTTTCTCCAGCTTATACATCAGCCTTTTATGGGGTACTGTGTCAAAGGCTTTCCGACAGTCCAAAAAAATGCAGTCCGCCCATCCTTCTCTTTCTTGCTTAATCTTTGTCACCTGATCGTAGAATTCTATTAAGCCTGTAAGGCAAGATTTACCCTCCCTGAACCCATGTTGATGGGTTGTCACGAAGTCCCTTCTCTCCAGATGTGTTACTAGGTTTTTTCTCACGATCTTCTCCATCACCTTGCATGGTATACAAGTTAAGGACACTGGCCTGTAGTTCAATGCCTCTTGTCTGTCGCCCTTTTTGTATATTGGGACTACATTAGCCGTCTTCCATATTTCTGGTAGGTTTCCTGTTTCCAGTGACCTACTATACAGTATGGCGAGTGGCAAACAAAGTGCTCCTGCACACTCTTTCAATACCCATGATGAGATTCCGTCCGGCCCAACAGCCTTTCTCACGTCCAGCTCCAATAGGTGCCTCTTGACCTCATCTTTTGTAATTTCGAACCCTTTCAAGGTCGCCTGGTTTGTTGCCACCTCTCCTAGGGCCATGACCTCTCCTTGCTCTATTGTAAAGACCTCCTGGAACCTTTTCTTGACTTCTTCACACACCTTTTTGTCATTCTCTGTGTACCTGTCCCTTCACTGTTTTTTTCCTCCTGATGTGACTGTGTAGTAGTTTTAGTTCGGTCTTGGCTCTATTAGCTATATCATTTTCATACCTTTTCTCAGCTGCTCTTCTCACACTAACCTACTCGTTCCTGGTTCTCTGGTATCTCCCTCTACTTTCTGGTGTTCTGTTATTACGGAAGTTCCTCCACGCCCTTTTGTTCAGCTCCTTTGCTTTCATACATTCCCTATTAAACCACGTATTCTTCTTTTGCTTCTCGTTTTTTTCCTGTTGGGCCGGGATAAACCTGTTTACCGCCTCTTGACACTTTTGGGTTACATATTCCATCATGTCTTGTACGGACTTAGTTCTGAGTTCTGTGTCCCATGGTATATCCCTTAGGAATTAATTCATCTTCTCATAGTTTCCCTTTTGGTACGCCAGCCCTTTGTTTCCCAGTTCTTTTTTGGGGTAGATAATTCCTAGCTCAACCAGGTACTCAAAGCTCAATACACTATGATCACTCATTCCCAAAGGGGCTTCCAACTTAACTTCCCTTATATCCGACTCATTTAGGGTAAATTCCAGATCAAGCAAAGCTGATTCAACCTCTCCTCTCATTCTTGTCAGTCCCTTGACGTGCTGACTTAGAAAATTTCTTGTTGCCACGTCCAGCAGCTTAGCTCTCCATGTGTCTGGTCCTCCATGTGGGTCTCTGTTCTCCCAATCTATCTTCCCGTGGTTGAAATCTCCCATGATTAGTAGTCTGGATCCGTTCCTGCTAGCCACAGAAGCTGCTCTCTCTATTATATTGATGGTGGCCATGTTGTTTCTATCATATTCCTGTCTGGGTCTTTTATTGTTTGGTGGGGGATTATATATGACTACTACTATAATTTTCTGTCCTCCAGTTGTTATGGTGCCTGATATGTAGTCACTGAAATCTTCACAGCTCTGATTAACCATCTCTTCAAAACTCCAACCTTTTCTTATCAGCAAAGCTACACCACCACCTCCTCAACCTTCTCTCTCTTCCCTCACTACATAGTATTCCTGTGGAAACACTGCATTTGTTATGGTTTTTGTTAGCTTTGTTTCTGTGAGTGCTATTATGTCTGGGTTTTCTTCGAGTGCCCATTCTCTGAGTGCCCTTTCTTCCATTCTCCAGTGCCCATTCTCATATATATATATATATATATATATATATATATATATATATATATATATATATATATATATATATATATATATATATATATATATATATATATATATATATATATATATATATATATATATATATATATATATATATATATGTCGTACCTAGTAGCCAGAACGCACTTTTTGGCCTACTATGCAAGGCCCGATTTGCCTAATAAGCCAAGTTTTCATGAATTAATTGTTTTTCGACGACCTAACCTACCTAACCTAACCTAACCTAACTTTTTCGGCTACCTAACCTAACCTAACCTATAAAGATAGGTTAGGTTAGGTTAGGTAGGGTTGGTTAGGTTCGGTCATATATCTACGTTGATTTTAACTAAAATAAAAAAAAATTGACCTCATACATAATGAAATGGGTACCTTTATCTTTTCATAAGAAAAAAATTAGAGAAAATATATTAATTCAGGAAAACTTGGCTTATTAGGCAAATTTAGCCTTGCATAGTAGGCTGACAAGTGCGTTCTGGCTACTAGGTACGACATATATATATATATATATATATATATATATATATATATATATATATATATATATATATATATATATATATATATATATATATATATATATATATATATATATATATATATATATATATATATATATATATATATGTCGTACCTAGTAGCCAGAACGCACTTCTCTGCCTACTATGTAAGGCCAGATTTGCCTAATAAGCCAAGTTTTCATGAATTAATTGTTTTTCGACTACCTAACCTACCTAACCTAACCTAACCTAACTTTTTCTGCTACCTAACCTAACCTAACCTATAAAGATAGGTTAGGTTAGGTTAGGTAAGGTTGGTTAGGTTCGGTCATATATCTACGTTAATTTTAACTCCAATAAAAAAAAATTGACCTCATACATAATGAAATGGGTAGCTTTATCATTTCAACAGAAAAAAATAGAGAAAATATATTAATTCAGGAAAACTTGGCTTATTAGTCAAATCGTGCCTTGCATAGTAGGCTGAGAAGTGCGTTCTGGCTACTAGGTACGACATATATATATATATATATATATATATATATATATATATATATATATATATATATATATATATATATATATATATATATATATATATATATATATATATATATGTCGTACCTAGTAGCCAGAATGCACTTCTCAGCCTACTATGCAAGGCCCGATTTGCCTAATAAGCCAAGTTTTCCTGAATTAATATATTTTCTCTAATTTTTTTTTCATGGAATGATAAAGCTACCCATTTCATTATGTATGAGGTCAATTTTTTTTTATTGGAGTTAAAATTAACGTAGATATATGACCGAACCTAACCAACCCTACCTAACCTAACCTAACCTATCTTCATAGGTTAGGTTAGGTTAGGTAGCCGAAAACGTTAGGTTAGGTTAGGTTAGGTAGGTTAGGTTGTCGAAAAAACATTAATTCATGAAAACTAGGCTTATTAGGCAAATCAGACTTTGCATAGTAGGCTGAGAAGTGAGTTCTGGCTACTAGGTACGACATATATATATATATATATATATATATATATATATATATATATATATATATATATATATATATATATATATATCTATCGTACCTAGTAGCCAGAACACACTTCTTGGCCTACTATGCAAGGCACAATTTGCCTAATAGGCTGAGTGATTTTCTTTATTTTCAAAAAATTGTTTCTAATTAATTGGTTTATTTGAATTATTATTATATTATATTATGAATATAAATTATTGACTTAGTTATGTTAGTTTAGGTTAGGTTAAGATAGATTAGGTTAGGTTAGGTAGGGTTGGTTAGGTTTGGTCATATATCTATGTTAGTTTTAACTGAAATTTAAGTAAAATTAACTCAAACATAATGAAATGGATAGCTTTATCATTTCATAAGAAAAAATTAGAAAAATATATAAATTCAGGAAAACTTGGCTTATTAGGCAAATTGGGCCTTGCATAGTAGGCTGAGTACTGCATTCTGGCTACTAGGTACAACATAGTGTGTGTGTGTGTGTGTGTGTGTGTATAATATATATATATATATATATATATATATATATATATATATATATATATATATATATATATATATATATATATATATATATATATATATATATATATATATTGTACATTATATGCTAATACTTTGAATTAAATGCAAAAGTGGGTGTATGTTCATGTTTATAACTGATTACATCTTTAATACCTTTGACCTAGGTACGGATGTCGTGGGATTCAGATATTTCCTTGCTGGAAGGAGAAGAGATTGTTGTGGAGGTGCTCGAAAAATTTCCCGTCACGACCTCTATATCCCACAACTTTGTAAGTTTGATATAATGATTATTAATTTCAGTGGCATGTAAATGAAATGAAAGTTTCTTTTAATATTCATTTAATGTTCTGTTTCCTGTAAGGGCCATGGACGTAAAGAAAAAAAGAAAAGTTGGTACTGTATTTGCATATTGATAATTTATTAGATTGTTAGCTATGCATAACAGTACATTACTTTGTAATATAATATTATTATACTACAAAGCTATTACAAAGCAAAATTGACTTTTGTTGGGAATATTTAAATATATAAGCCCAAAGGTTACTATGCAATCTTTCAATATTATAGTGTAGATTGAAATTGCCGCAAATATTGTAACAGGGTTCCCTCACATTCTTTCCAATACAAAGGAAACTGTACAAGGCAAGCAGGGACTGAATTGCAGCAACAAAGTATTCTGTTCGGAAATGAGCTCTTCATGTACAGTACACTCAAAGCTTTATGTCTGAGGTGTCCATGAATATCCCTCGATACTGAATGGTGGAAATATGGATGGTGCTAAATAGTCATCCCAGTATGGTGCCTTTTCTGTGGAGAGCCCCTTCGGCTCCCCGGAGCTATACTGGGCTGATGTGTATATATTAGACTGTGGCAACAGTCAGTCGAAGGAGTTCTAAGCCTACCGGGGACCAGAACCTGAACCTGGCCCCCTTAAGAGAGGCATGAGGAGCAATAGCCTAAAGACACCCCCGTGTAATTGAAGCAGTCTTTGTCTGCCATCTACCAGGTCAGGCACCCAGAAAGATAGGAATTTCAAAACAAACTACTGCTGGCCAAAAAATTGCAAACCGAAAGCCGAAACAGCAAACAGAACTCCCCAATCAAAAACCTGGAAATAAACATGATGTCACCACAACTGTCGCGCATCCGTCTGCGCAACCCCCCCCCCTCTCCCCTGGAGGAGGATTGGGGTTCCCAGACCTCCATGCCGGCAACTCCACGCCGGCAACTCTCTTCAGTTCAGAAGGCTGTTGTGTCAGTGGCGGTCAATCGACTCTGGCTAAACTCTTTGCGCAGTGCTGCAGTGCGGTGTTGTTGCTCTGTATTCGTGGTGTGTGAGCCAGGAGTAACACAAGAGTACTGGGGCTGCATGCACCTAGGGCTACCTTCCCTAGGTGCCCCATAACTACTGCCTTTGCGGCTTCAGGGTTATCTTCCATGAGCCGTTCAGGAGCAGCTACCTATGTGTGGTTCTGTCGCTGCTCGGTGATTGCCCACCCTTGGGGGTTCAGCTGGGGTGGTTCTTACTCCTGTTTTCCCTTGGGCAGGAGGTAGTTTCGTCGCTTGCTGGGGCACGAGGTACTGTGTAGCTGTCTGATATACGCATAGCGACCCATTCTGTTCACCTCGAGACGTTGTGCTTTTGCAGGGTTTTTCTTTTGTTTTTCTTTTGTTTTGTCTGGCGGGGGTCTGCCTGGTGTGGCGGTAGGACCACTAGTAGGTTTTTGGTGGCCCTCCACTAGGTCCACGTGCTTGCACACATTGCAGGGGTTCAGCTTTTAGATTGTTTGCTTGGTAGCTCTGAGATAACCGGTTAGCAGCACCTCGCCTGGGCTTCCCTTAGCAGTCAGCCTAAGGGCCCTGGAAACCCCCATTGGGGTTCAGTGGTCCAATGTAGGAGACCTCTGAGTCCCACCTCTCCTTTTGCAAGTTTGAAGGTTGCTCTGTCCCCCTGTCTCAGGGTGACACTCACCCTCTGCCTCCGCCTTGTTGCCTGTTGGGTCAGTGACACCTATGACCCGGAGTCCTGCGAGTGGTGTTCTTTGCTTGTACTCCAATTCACCCAGTCCAGTGAGACTGATATTTGGGTGCAGGCAGCTTTAGCGTTGCATGCGTGGTTTCAGTTGCAGCAACGTGAGAGGTTGGGTGCCTTTCCAGATGCTCCGCAGCTGCCCCGCTGAATTATACTGGTAGTAAGACTCGGGCAGCTTTGGGGATTGCCCCTTCCGGATTGGTGGCGGAGGCATTCGAGCTTGGTTCTCCTGCCAAAGCTTTTGGGCCACGCCAGTGGCCCCCATCATCCCTGCTTTTTCGGTGGCCTCTGCTTCTTCTCCAAAGGCAGAAGGTTTGGAGGACGGCTTGGCCCCAGGTCCTGACGTGGAGTATTCTGGGGCTGGGGAGGAGTTGACTTGGTGGGGGGGGGGCCTGGGCCCCACTGGTCCCTGCCTGGGTGTTTGGTACCCTCGGTGCAGGGCTTGTTGTTACATGGGGAGGGGTTTTCCTATCTTTCGCTTTGATGTCCAAAGAGCTTGGAAAGGATGTGGGAGGAAGAAGGATGGGGCGATGAAATTCTTGGAAGAGGATTTGGATGTGGAGAGAGGAGGCTTGAAAGTTCGGTGGCCCGTCCACCTTGGATTGGAGATGTTTTTTCAGTCAAAGCCTGTAGCTTGAGTTCTTCTTAGGCGGCAAGAGGCTAGTGGTGGGGCAGGGTGATGTCGTCCTGGTTCACTTGAGGTGGTCTGTCTGGCTTGGAGGAGGCGTCTTCCTTATTGAGGTGGTGAGAGGTAAGTTCACTGTTGCTTGGTGGTGTCTTGGCCACGAGGTATTCGCATGTACTTCCCAAATGACAGCGGTGGTATTGGTGTTCCTGTCGGGTCTTCATCTTCTTCCAGGAAGGTCACTTGTCCCCTCTTGAAGTCGAATTTAGGGTCGATGTATTCACTCTCCAGAGCGCTGAGGTCAACATATAGTTCCACGGTCTCGTGGTGGACAAACACAGGGTAAGGAAAGCAGGTCTTGAGCTGGTTGATGATCCTGTTGCATTCTAAGGCAATGACCATTCTTGTGCTTCGATTGCCGTTGAAAGTGCCACCGTGATTGAGGTAAAGTCCATAGTAGGGCTTTTTCTTGCTTGATTTGCTTGGGTTTAGGTCGAAGTCTGGGGCCTCATATGTGACGGCCTCAGCCGAGGCAGATGGAAGCAATGGTGATTCTAGGAACTCTGGTGCTGGTTCTGGTTCTGAATCTGATTCTGATTCCACTTGCCGACGTTTTGCTTTCCTTTTCATCCGTCCCCGGCTGGTGGGGGCAGGTGATGAGGTTGACTGGTCTGCTGTGGAGGTGGTCTGGGTGGATGCTGTTGCCTGGGTGACTTGTGCTGGGTTCGACTCCGGTGGTGGTAGTTGCGGTATGACTGCAGTTACTGTTGGTGTTGGAATCTCGTCTGTTTGGGTTGAAGCAGCGTTGTGATGTTGAAATAGGTCTGCTGGTATCAACATTGTAGGCAGGTTGTTCTGGGCGAGCAGCCTGTTCAATACTCTCACGTATTTTGCGTTGTCTGTTCCCGCCTCTCTCTCAGCTACACTGACCAGGCATGGGATGAGAGTGGTGTTGGTCGAGGCCGCTGATTGGTTGACAGTCAAGTTGGTTGGCTGAACTGCAGTCGCCTGTGTCCTGGGTCCCCATTGGGGGGTGGTCTGGCCTGGTGTGGACGTCTGTGTAGCAGAAGCAGAAGCGTTGGGAAGCACTGGAAACGATGTAGCTTGGATATTAAAGCTCGCCGGCTGATTGGTTGTTGGGTTGGCAGTTACTGTTTTATTTATTTCATCTAGTCGTACTTGGCAGTCCATGGAGACGGCGATGTGAGCTCCTCCACAATTGAGACACAGTTTGGTGGTTGACCGGCAGGTTTTGAAGTGATGATCCTAGGTACAAATGCTGCATTTAACATCTGCTTGTTGGCAGTTCTTGGTATCATGATCGTACTTGTAACACTTAAAGCACTGGCGAATGTTGTAGTAACGTTCCTTCTTTACAGTGTCAGCTGTGATGGAAATATCCAGACATCTAAATCCATTTTCCACAGCTTGGGTCGCTGCAGCAGCTGTTGTGAAGGTGACCTTGAGAGTAGGCCTAGGGTTGTCGTCGTTCTTGATGACCTTGACTGTAGCAGCAGTCAGAGCCGGGTTTCTGGTGTTGATACTATCAAGTATGGTGCTAGGGTCCTGGGTGGCGATGTAGACACTCGTGTGGCTGACGAAGATGGTTCGTTCAGCCAAGTAGCGACGGTTAGGAGTGATGATCAGGTTGGAGTTTCGTAGGGCGTCCTGGTGTTCTGGTGCAAACAGTTGCTCCAGAGCTTGCTCGCTTGAATAGAGAAGTACAGCGCCGTCAGCATCGTCACGGATGTCCAACGGGGCTGCATTCGTGATGTCGACGATTTTCCTTAGTAATTGGGGCCCGCTGTAGGTGGTTTCGTGACGAAACCGGACCTTTATGCGGTAAATCATGGCTCTAATCGTTGCTGCCCAATGTTTACCCACCGTTCGACTCCTCCCCAGGTTCGGTTCCGAGTTCCCTTGGGTTCTTCGGTTCCCTCCTTCTGGAGATTTTTGGCTTCCTGCATCCCACCGAGGAAGGTGTGGGCACCCCCTTGCGTCTTACCTCCTGCGAGACCTGCATTACGCCTCGCTATTGAAGCCTTCTTCTTTTTGAGTTTGGCTCCTCTTATCCTTATTGGGTGCATTACAAGGTGCTGGAGTCTTCCTGGCTGGCAGACTGCTTTTTCTTCATGGGGCTTGCCATTCATCCTGTTGGACTGCGCTCTTGAATGGCGAGAGTTGCCTACTTTCATTTAGGTTTTCCTGGGGGTGAGTTGGAGCACCTCAAAGAGTGCTTGTTCGCCCCCGTCCTTCCTTATGAAGTTGGCCAAGTGTGGCTTCACGTGCAGGTTCTCTCCCTTTCAGCATCCCTGGTGGCTGAGGATTTGTGCACCCGTGGGCACTTTGCTTCGGTCTTGCGCTTCTTTTCCCTGCTGGAGCTGTCTTCGGACTGACTCATGCTGGGTGTGGAGGAGCTGGGTTCCGGGCCAGGGTCCAGTGGGCTTGCTTCTGCAGCTCAGGTGCTGGCTTCTTTGGTGAAGTTGTATGCACCGTTTCTAAGGGAGGCGGTGTCTGTTCTTCGCTTCTCGCCACACGTGCTGACAGCCGGTGCTCATCCAAATTTTGGAATCGTCTTGGGCCCTGGCTTTTAGATTTTCATCCCCTTTTTT